GCCGAAGGCAGTCGCTTAACCAACTGAGCCACCCAGGCGCCCCTTATTTTATTTTTTTAAAGATCTTATGTATTTATTTGTCAGGGAGAGAGAGAGTGAGCACAAGCAGGGAAAGCTGCAGGCAGAGGGAGAAGTAGGCTCCCCACCGAGCAGGGAGCCCAATGCAGGACTCAATCCCAGGACCCAGGTACCATGACTTGAGTGGAAGGCAGACACTTAACTGACTGAGCCACCCAGGCATCCCTAATTTTAAGACTTTAGACAAATGGTTAACTAATCTTTTGATGCCTGGGTGGCTCAGTCTGTTAAGCTGCCAACCTTGATTTTGGCTCAGGTCATTATCTCAGGGTCCTGGGATGGAGCCCCACATCGGGTTCCCTACCCCCACACACACTCTCTCTCTCTCTCAAATAAATAAATCTTTAAAAACGAGAGGTATTACTGCTTATCAAGATGTTAAATTTTTTACTGTTATGTTAATCACCATACATTACATCATTAGTTTTTGATGTGGTGTTCCATGATTCATTGTTTGCATATAATACCCAGTGCTTCATGCAGAACATGCCCTCTTTAATACCCATCACCAGGCTAACCCATCCCCCCACCCCCTCCCCTCTAGAACCCTCAATTTGTTTCTCAGAGTCCATCGTCTCTCATGGTTCGTCTCCCCCTCCAAAGATGTTAAATTTAATATGATGCATACATCTTGATCTCAGCTGGGGTAGTGTTCTCATGTGGTGAAGATGGAAACTTTGAGGCCTCTTGAGGTCTGAACTTCATAACCTTCACAGCACCACTTCTGGCACAATCTATTGGTCAGACATCCTGGGGGAGAAGAGGTTCTGCTGGAACAAGCTAATGCAGGTGCAAGTGAAAGCTTTGAAGATGTAGGCCACTCCTCTGATGCCAGAGAAACGCTAAAGCAGTACTATATTGGTGGTGTGCATTCAAATGACCTTAAACCTGAAAGTCGTAGCAGAGACCCTTCCAAAGATGCCACATGCAAATGTTGCTGGTCACACTGAATTTTGCCCATCATAGGCGCTATTGTCTTAGGTTTCCTGTATTGTTACTACACGTCAGAAGGCAAATCCTTCTGAGATTGTGTGGAGTCAGAAAGCATATCCACTGGAAGTGCGAGCTGGAGGTTGTTTGGAGGTCTCACGAGGCCCTCTTCTCGAATCCTGCCAGGTGTGTGCTTCCCCCTTGGAGCTCAGATGGTTGGCCAGACATCCACCCCAGAACTGGGGCCAGTGTCCTTCATCTCCTAGAGCCTTACTCCCAAAGCACCTGCTCATTGTTCTGTGTCCTGCCAGTGGCCCTCTCTCTGCTGGCTTCCACTAGCCAAACTTTGTTTTATAATTACAATCCATATGTCCTAGTGACATCATCCTTTGGGAAAAATGTCTGCTTTCCAATACTTAGAATGCACATTAGACTTTCTTAACAGGGCAACACACTCTGGTTTTGAAACTTTTCTTTTTCCATTTTTCTTTGAGGTAAATATATATATTTAAATAAATAAACACATACATATACACATGCATACTATATTAATATACATATTTTAAGGCTATTGTTAAAAACTTCAAATATCAGTGCACCTGGGTGGCTCAGTTGGTTAAGTGTCCAACTCTTGATTTCAGCTCGGGTCATGATCTCAGGGTCGTGGGATCAAGCCCCACATCAGGCTCTGTCCCTCTTCTTCTGCTCCTCCCCTCGCTGGCTCTCTTCCTCTCTCTCTCTCAAATGAATAAATAAAATCTTTTTAAAAACTTCAAATATGTTAATTATTTCTATATATATTCATTTGTGCCTAAATATACACATATATCAAGGTATATTTATAAATCTTATATTGACAATAGTTATGCAAATAATGTACAAAAAGAGTAAAGTTAGAATATGGGTGTTTTTTTGTGTAAGAAGATTCAGTTATTCTGTGCCCAAATTAGTAGATGTTCCCTTTGTCACCAAAATATTTGTTAATTCTTAGTGCTTTATCACATTCTTAAACAATTTTGAAGAGATTCCTCTTTACTTCTGAAAAAATTCAGCCTGCTTCTCCCTCTCCCTCTGTCCCTCCTCCCCACTTGTGCTCTCTCTCTCTCAAATAAATAAAATCTTAAAAAAGAATAAAAAGATGTACCACTTTCTCCTGATTGCTAGACATTTATTCTATCAGGAGAATTCAAACTGAAAATTGCTAGGAATTCTTTGGAAGCTGATGACTGGAGAAGTGGAAAGCTTTCACCCAAGACAAAGAAACAAGACTAATTTTCCAATTTTTTTTTTTAAGATTTTATTTATTTGACAGAGAGAGAGACAGCAAGAACAGGAACACAAGCAGGGGGAGTGGGAGAGGGAGAAGCAGGCTTCCCGCAGAGCAGGGAGCCCGATGTGGGACTCGATCCTCGGACCCTGGGATCATGACCTGAGCTGAAGGCAGACGCTGAACGACTGAGCCACCCAGGTGCCCACTAATTTTCCAATATTTTTCTGGTTAGTTTTCTACATTTTTAGTACTAATCTTGCCTTTTATTGTATTTTGCAATGAACATCACTGAACGAATACTAGTAGTATTTGCATGGGATTTAAACAAAAAAAAAAATGATCTACACATTTCTTTAACTGTTATAAGCAACAAATTACTAATGTCATATCTCATTACATTGAGTTTACAAATCACTACCTTCAAACTCACAATTTATCCTAAAAGAGACTGTCTGGTCATTGCTATAGACTGAATTTGTGGTCACTCCCTTTTTCCTTCTACCACATGAGTATGCAATGTGAAGACTGAGGTCTATGAACCAGAAAGCAGTCTCTCACCAGACAACGACTCTGCTGGCAACTTGACCTTGGATTTCCTAGCCTCTAGAACTATGAGAAAGAAATTTCTGTTATTTATAAGCCCCTCCAGTCTATGGCATTCTCTCATAGCAGCATGAATGGACTAAGTCATTGTTTGTGTATGAAATAAAATTAAGTATCATTTGAGGGAACTATTGTTGATTCTCCTAATTTACCCATCAAATCTTGAGTTTGTTGAACTCATCTATCCATTTATTAATTTAACATTTTCTAGGAGGCAATAATGTGCCAAATAATGTGCTAGACACTAGGATATGATGACACAGGTCTATTGCCCTTCAGTTTTGCAGGAAGAGGCAGGCAAGTAAATAATGGCGGTCAAGTAATACTGGGTGCTCTGATACAAGTATGATTAGAGAGTGTGGGAGATTAGAGAGTAGTAAGTTCTTTGTAGTAACTGTTTTTGCAGTGAGATCCAGGAAAATACCACAGGGATGGGTGCATTTGCACAACAGACAAAATTTCTCAAATTCATTTGCAAAATGGCTATAGATAGTATAGGAAGCGAATCACACACTTTCATATCCCTCTGTATTGCACATAATAAAAATGGATCCCTTTCAAAGCAGGTCAAGGTATTTGGTTATATCAATAAAGAAGTTGCCTTCCCACCCCCTCCTTTCTGCTACGGTACAAGGAATAAAAAAATTATGGGCCCCACAAGATGATTGTTTTAAGGTATGCAGGCCACAGTATATTGAATTTATATCATTGTTTCCAGCATGGCAAGGACACCCTTCAGCCTTCTGAGTGCCAATAAAGAATCAAGTAATCCGAAAGTATTCTAATTCTGACAGTTTGGAGTTTGTGTTTTCTAACTTTTTCATTAGCATCTTTGAACAGAACCATTTAAACGTACCTCTTTGGGGCTGGCAGGGAGAAGGGGCCAGGATGGAAAAAGTCATCATCTAAGGAATTGAAGTGGAAGATCCAACATTTACGATATTTTGATGATTTGCTAGATGCTTTCTTTCATCTTATTCTCATACTAACTCCTTTTCTCCAGTAACCAAATTAATGCTATGAGAAGGTATGTATCGTAGCCAATGTCAAACAACAGCTAACAAATACAGGTATCCGGGATTGATCTCCTCCGGACTAGGTCATTACCACTATGTGAAAACACTAAAAACAAAACAAAACACCCCAAACTAAGCCCCCCAAAACCTCACCCTTCTAAAGGGTTTTAATAAGATCACTAAGACTTAGAGGCCACTTAATGGGTCCCATTTAGTTGGTAAGGTATTCCTAATGTTTCACAAATCTTCTGCCAAGCTCAATTCCTTCCAAAGGAACGAGCCGAAAGCCTTTGACCGCAAAGCGGGTCCGCGATCACTCAGTGCGTGCTCAAGGGACGCAAGCATGCCGCTTCCTTGCAGGTGCGCGCGCACCTGTCGCTAGCCGCGTGAGCGCCGCGAGGGAGGGAGGTACGTGTCCGTGCGCGTGCGCCAGGCAACATTCCCCGTACGTGCGCCGTACGTGGGCGCGGTGTCCCTGCGCTCGGAGTTTCGGGCCGGCATTCGGCCCCGTGCCGAGTGGGAGTCTGGGAGGGGCGTGTTCCTGGGCGGTCGCAGCTCCCCCTGGTGGCGGCCCTGCAGCGCTGGAGGCGCGCAGTCAGGCGTTCTCCGCGGGCAGCCGGCGGCGGGGCCTTGCCTTATAGCGCGGGGTCCTCGGCGGCCTGGGTGTCTACTGCCCCAGCTGCTGTCGTAGGCGAGGACGGCTGCTAGTGCGGCTGCTGTTGGTTCGCGGCGGCGGCGGCGGCGGCGGAGGAGGAGGAAGAGGGCGAGGCGACAGGGAAAGAAGGAGGCAGGCGCGGCGGCGGCGGCTTCGCCCGGGGCCGGCGGCGGCGGCGAGGGGGGGGGAAGATGGCGGACGTGCTCAGCGTCCTGCGACAGTACAACATCCAGAAGAAGGAGATTGTGGTGAAGGGAGACGAAGTGATCTTCGGCGAGTTCTCCTGGCCCAAGAATGTGAAGACCAACTATGTAGTTTGGGGGTAAGTCCGGCATGGCTGTGGCCTGGGGATGGCCGGGCAGAGTTGGGCGCCCCCAGGCGACCTCTTTCCTAACCCCTCCCCCCGATTCCCGTTGGGGATGGAGAAAAAAACGGGTCTCTAGGTAAAAGTTTTTCTCTAGAAAAGAAGTTACACTTTTAGGTGAGGAGGGCATAGGCGGAGGTGCGTCTGGAGTGGTCCATTTTCTTTAAGTCTTTTAGGACGCCAAAGGGAAAGGTACCAAGGGAGTTCCTGACTTTTCTAATTCATTTTTGCCGGTATGTGTCGAGTGTTAGCAGTGGGTGTAGGTGCAGAAGAGGGCACACCGTCCGGTCCTGGAGACGTCTTTTTGTGTTCTTTAGTTTTTTCTTTCTCTTCGAGGCTACCATGTGTTGTTAACTATCCCTGCTGCCCCTTGCAGCTCCTGGTCTGTTTCTTTTCCTTTCGTAATTCCCTCAAGAAGAGAGAAGGGAACCAACTATGTGAAGTTAGAACGGGAAAAAGATTTGGTCACTTTGGAACAGAGTCCTCAAAACCCGTGTCAGAGGGGAAGGCATCCTCAGGGAGAAAGTTACTGGTGAAATGGGGTGAGCTTTATAGATCTAAGTAAGATACTGATGGTGTTGTGTGGTTTTAGGAAATGTGTTTTAAAGAGAAATGTTTTGGAACGTTGATCCATGCGGGGTTTTCTGAATTTAAGTCATTAAGGAAAATATCTAGAAATAGGTCCTATAATCGTTTGGGGCCTTTTTAGTGATGTTTCTGTCACTGGTATTTCATTTGGATAATTAGAACTTTGGGCCAGAACTTCCATACTCATTTTGCTTGATTGAATGGGAGCACTAGGCTTTATGATGGAAAGCCAAGGAAAATTTAGTTTGTTGGTTTCTAGTTTTTTGGCCTAGAGGGCTTATGATTCGATTAGCTTTATGAAATGTTGATGCAGTGACATCATTCTGAGTTTCCTGCATTTTGTCCTTTCAAAAGAATTTGCACAGACACAATTATATTTGATTGGAATTTTAACTGATTTGTTTTTTTCTTTAAAAAATGGTTAAAGAGTAGTCACAGTGTAGGGTGGTTCAGTCTGAGAAATAGAAAGATTTCTTAGCATCTTGGTCCCTGACTCAAAGGAGGTTAACTTAATCAGAGTAGATGAGATAAAACAGATAGATTACTTGGTAAGAATTGCATTCTGGCCCGTAAGAGAGTAATCACTTCTAGCTTGGGGTATTAGAAAAGGTTTCGTAGAAGTGTGTTTGGGATGTAGATGTGCTACAAATTTTTCTTGAACAACTGAGTAAACTTTAAAGAATGGGTAAAGAACTTGAGGGTGACATGATGGGTTAGGTCTTAAAGGACATGCTTAAGGGCATGAGAGCTGGAAGGGAAATGTTTTGATAGTTCAGTGAAGCTAGTAGTGAAAAGGGACTGCTTAGGATAGATTTCAAACTTTAACAACAGTGAATTACACTAATAAATACATTTTCATTTCATTTATTCGTCTCTGCACGTGTACATATGTCCAACTTCATAACTGTAAACAATAGTTATCCTTATTGCATGCTGTACATTGTGTTACTTTGCTTTTTTATTATGTTTAAATAACCTGGTTACTTGTATATCACATTTCAGAGTACAAAAATTGGTAGTGATATATGATTTGAAATATGTCAATTTAGAGGAAAAGTGGAAATGCAGGCTAGAGAAATGTAGGTTGGGGCTGATTACTTTGGGCTGTATTCAGATGAATTTAAATAATACATTGACATTTTTAGGTGAGGATAATGTAGTAGGAACGGTGAGATTGGACACTAATATTGTTGAGCAAATAGTATTACTTGCTTTCATTAAAGAGCCTGCACCTCTAAACTGCATTGTTTTATCACAGGTAGAATTCAGTATGGTTTTACATCATTGGTTTAATTTGAGGGATGTCATAAGAATTATACCTCTGAAATTCATTGTTGTGTTTACTGTAAGAACGTTGCTAAGGATGGTGTTTAGCAGTATCTTACTTAGGAGACATAGGATAAATTTCTTCTAAGTTTAGCACTGGCAGTAGTTGTGCTTCTCCTAGTCAGTTTGTTTCTCTTGTGGATCCTCTCCAATCTATAACTGATTAAATTTCTCTCTCTATTGACAAAGACCAGAACCAAATTTGGGCCAAATTCTAAAAAGTGTATAGTGCCTTAGAGTATGAATATGGTATGCTTTCCTTCTTGCTTTTTGTCATTGTCTACCTTTGTGTTCTTTGCTTTAATGACAGTTCCACTTAGTAAATTTCATACTTTATGGGTATTTTTGTTAGTCATATTAAATCCATTGCTGGGTAGCAAAGTAAGTATAGATAAGTTCATACATATAATTAAGTCCAAGGAGTTGAATTAAAATTGAGTAAAAATCTTGTCTTAATTATTTCAGGACTGGAAAAGAAGGCCAACCCAGAGAGTACTACACATTGGATTCTATCTTGTTTCTACTTAATAATGTGCACCTTTCTCATCCTGTTTATGTCCGACGGGCAGCTGTAAGTACAATTCATTTTAAAACTTTTTTGGTTTTTTTTTTTTTTTGGATGGTAGGTATCATTTTGTCATCGTGCACTGAAATAAAGTTCTCAGACACTAGTCTTCTGCAAGGGAGAACAGCCCTGCAGGGCCAACACTCAGATTGGTGTCTGAGAACTTTATTTCAGCACGCGACAACATTTGGCGCCAAACAGGGACCTCTTGAGGACTCAGTAGAGTCCTCGTCCACAGTGCGGACAACATCATTTGGCATGGATCACTTCCCTCATGGGTTTCAAATCAAAAGAATAAAAGGTTTGTCTGTATGAAGTTCTACTGGAGGGTCAAAATTAGATCACTGTGATTTATGCAGATTTTTAAATCTATGACTTTCATGTAAAACATGGGCACTGTTTATAAGAACAGAAGTTTTGAAGGCATCTGTAGGAATGTTTTAAGAAATTCATAAGCCTGTGGAAGGACCCTGATATTCAGAACTCTAGTTTAACTAATCTCAAGACTTTTTGGGGGGGCATCAAAAAGAATCAAGATTAACAGACAACTTTAAAATTAAATTTTTAATCAATTTAACAAACGTTTTTAATACTTTATTGACAAACTCATTTGTTTTCAGTTTTGCCTGCCTTCAGCGTGTCAGTATTTGAACACTGCACTTCTGAATAGGAAATAAATATTCAGCATCTAATACATATAAAAGAAGTAATATATAGGGTGAAACTACTTGAGATTTGAGAAATAGTGGGATAAAAATAACGGCATTTCTATAAACTATGTTACCTCGTCTTAAATCTTTAAAAACTGAGTTAGGCAGGGGCGCCTGGGTGGCTCAGTTGGTTAAGCGACTGCCTTCGGCTCAGGTCATGATCCTGCAGTCCCGGGATCGAGTCCCGCATCGGGCTCCCTGCTCAGCAGGGAGTCTCCTTCTCCCTCTGACCCTCCCCCCTCTCATGCTCTCTATCTCATTCTCTCTCAAATAAATAAATAAAATCTTTAAAATATATATATAAAAATAAAAACTGAGTTAGGCAGTAATTAGAATCTTTTGTTGGCTACATTATTCATTTTGTGGTAATAAAGATGATCCAGCTACTTGGTTTACATTTAGAAATTATATTATTGGGAAATGGTTGTAGCATGTACTGATGGCTGTAATTGTTACCTTTCTTCACATAAGATTTAAATCTTTTGTTTTTCTTAAATACTTCACAGATTGAAAGGGCAGAATTCTATAATTCTAGGGTTCTACAAATTTTGTTTTTTCCTCTTTTGTGTTATTTGCTCTTTCTTGTGAGCAGACCATTTCTGAAATAAGTTTTCCTGAGCTATAGCTACTATTTTAGTGTGAGTAGACTTGTATCTTTCTCAGTTGGCTGTATTAGGTCCATAATTCATTAGTAACCAAATGATGAAAAGTGTTATCAGACTTAGAAACAGTAATTTAAAGAAAATTAATTCGGGCACCTGCATGGCTCAGTCATTAAGCATCTGCCTTCAGCTCAGGTCATGATCCTGGGGTCCTGGGATCGAGCCCCACATCAGGCTTCCTGCTCCGCGGGAAGCCTGCTTCTCCCTCTCCCACTCCCCCTGCTTGTGTTCCCTCTCTCGCTGTGTCTCTCTCTGTCAAATTAAAAAAAAAAAAACAAAAACAACTTTAAAAATTAAAAAAAAAAATTAATTCAAATCTTTTAATTATTTATGATATACTCCGTGTAGGCTAGTTTTTAAAAACAAGCACACAAAAACGTGTAGGCTCTTAAATGTTTATACTCCCAGCAGAAATTAAAATTTAGCCTGCCCTTTAAAAAAAAGTTAATTTTAAGTGATTAAGTATAGTTTATTTCTATCATCAAGGACTGTGTGCAGAATGGTGCAGTAGTCAGTATGAGATAATTAGCCAAAGGATTCTTTTTACTTCATTTTTGCTTGTATAAAGTGGCAAAGGGATTTTAATATATAATCTTGCAGCCACCAGTCATTCTTGTACTCATGTGTTGTTGATATTATAAAAATGATAGGAAAATTGTGGTAATTACAGGATTCATTGAATTCATGGCCCGAAGATGACTTGGTGACTAAAGTATACAGTTTTGTTTTGCATACCTCTTTACAAACTGCTAATGTAGGAGATTAAAGGAAAATATCCATTTTACCAAAATAGATGCATTTTCCAGGTTTAATTTTTTAATCTTTTCCCCTTCCTTATAGAATTTGTATACACTCAGGGGTAAGAAAGAAATGTGTAATGTGGAAAGTAACCATCATTAATGGTTTCCTATATAATCTCCTAAGTATTTTCCCATGCTTAAATAACACATACCTATTGTTAATTATGAAAACTTAGGCTAATGGCTAAGTTGGTGTATTTTGGAGTTCAAGTAGAATATTTTGAGGAAGTCTGTTTTGTGTTTGAGGCAAAAAGGCACTTGGGAATATGTAAAATGAGCAGGCAATAGGACTAAAAAGATAATTGCCTAAAGCATGCGAAGTATCATGAGTAAAATAAAATACTTAAGGTAAGCCAAGGGAACAAAAAAGATTGGAATTGATATTTTGAAGAGGGATGGGTCATTGTTTCATTTCTGATGGTTATTTTTTATATATCTTATTTGAATTTCAAGAATGAAGTTATTAAAGTTAATATTCTTAAAATTTTTCAAGACTTTTATTGGGTTTTTTAGCCTAGTTCCGTAAAGATAAGATCCTAAGTAAATGTTACCGAGATACGTTGGAATGAAATTCATACATTACATAATGTTTGTCTTTATTATGTTTTGTATAATTGTTGTTGTTTTGATAACTAATTTAAAATTTTGACTTCAGACTGAAAATATTCCTGTGGTTAGAAGACCTGACCGAAAAGATCTACTTGGGTATCTCAATGGTGAAGCATGTGAGTAATTTTTTAACTTGTTCTCACTCTTAAATAGCCATTGTTTCTTTCCTTCCCCTGTGAAATAAGCAATGGAAAGAGAATTTGTATTTTCACTAAAAAATTAACCTACCAGCAACATATGTGTGCATATACTCTCCATTCTTTTCTGTTACGGTGAATGCACTATTTTCGCTCCTAAGGCCAGTCACCACTTCCCTGTCTATAGATTCCATTTCCTTTCACACTCTGAAAGACTTTGCCTTTGTGAATTGTTGCTTCTCTCTTACATCATCATCTTTCTCCTTTTCTCTGCATTCCCTTTAAAATGCATACTGTGGGTGCCTGGGTGGCTCAGTCGGTTGAGTGACTGCCTTCGGCTAGGTCATGATCCCGGAGTCCCAGGATCGAGTCCCGCATCGGGCTCCCTGCTCGGCGGGGAGTCTGCTTCTCCCTCTGACCCTCCCCCTCTCATGTGCTCTCTCTCTCTCATTCTCTCTGTCAAATAATAAATAAAATCTTTAAAAAAATAAAAATAAAATGCATACTGTAAGATCTCTCATTTAAAAACAGTTTTTTGACCCCACATTCCTAGTATCTACTGTTGAATTTGTCTTTTCCTTTTTATTGCAAAATTCTTTGTTAACAGTTGTGTGATATCACTGCCTACCTCTTGAATCCCCCACTCTAATCTGACTTTCCTACTCACAGTCTCACTAAAATTACTGTTGTAAGGTCAACACTGACTTAGGGGTTATCAATTCCTTTAGTGTCTTATCCATATCAACACTGTTGATTACTCCCTTTTGGAAAGCCTTTCTTCACTTGGCATTTGGGGCACCAGACTCTTGATTCTCTTTCTGTTCGTTGTCCATCTCTCATTTTATTTTGCTTACTTATCTTCAGCACTGACCTATTCCTCAGCTCAAGTTATAAATCCACTGTCCACCTCTTTCCTTGGATATTTAATACGTATGTGAAATACAACATATCTGAAATAGAATGCTGATTCCCTCCTTCCCTTCACCCCTTAAACAAAACTAAAATAGCAGCTCTGGTCTCCCAGTGTTTCCATCACAGTAAATGCTTTCCCATTCATGGAGTTGTTAGGCCAGAAACCCTGGAAAAAATCTTTGATTACTTTGATGAATTTCATGAACAAGTCCTTTTCTTTAACTTTAAAAGTATGACAGTTTCTTAACCATTCTACTCCCACCATGTTTCATTCTTCCCCTTTAGACTTGCATAGCTTTCTTAAGGTCCCCACTCTATAATTTCCCGTATAGTCTTTGCCTACCCATTAGAGTGACCTGTTTTTGAAAACACATATAAACTTGATTGTGTCACTTATTTGCTCAAGCCCATCCTGTGGCTTCCCGTCATACTTAGAATAAAGCCCACAGTCTTTATCCTATCCTGACCTACGTGATCTTGCTTCTGCCTAAATCTCTGTGGCCTCATCATCTTCCAACCTTCTTTGCTCGCAGCAGTCCAGTCTTGTTGGTTCTTTTAATAAACTATCCTAACTTTTCAAGCCTTTGTACTTGCTGTTTTCTCTGTGTTCAGTTGTTTCTCTACATTGTCACATGTCTTACTTCTTACCACCTCATTCACATCTGTGCTTAAATCTTCTGTCAGAAAGAACTTACCATTCTAAAATACAGAATTGCAGTGTTTTCCCACATATGTCCATGTATGTACAGCATCTTCCTGATTTATTTTTCATCAAATCCCTTACATTGACTTGAAATTACATATTTGTTTACTTAATATATTGTCTGCCCCACTAGAGGATAAACTGTAAGAGGGCAGACAGTTGTTAAATACCCAGCATTTTAGAACAGTGGTTAATAGTGGGTGCTTACCTGTATAAATGAGTAATCATTAACTTGGTGTCTTAAAGAATATGAATTAAAGAGGTATAATAAATTGATATATAAATTGATGAGTATGAATAAATTGATATAATCTTAGAATAATATGAATAATCAATATAAGACTGATTGGTCCTAACCTTCCTTGGGGTGGAGTTTACTACCTTTAAGTCATTAATAGCTGTCTTATCACATATTGTGCTCCATGGCTATAACAGTAAGATTGATTTGCACAGAGTCTCTTGCATAATGGAAAGACCATCATCAAGAGTCTTGTCTTTCTGTACTGTCCTCACTGAACATTCAGCAAGTACTTATGAGTGGTTATTCTTTTTTTTTCTTTTTTTTTGATTTATTTATATATTTATTTGAGAGAGGGAAAGCGGGCACCTGTGCACGAGCAGTAGGGAGGGGCAGAGGGAAAGGGAAGGAGAATCTCAAGCAGACTCCTCCCTGATTGCCGAGCCCAAACTGGGACTCCATCTCACGACGCTGCAATCATGACCTGAGCTGAAATTAAGATTCGGACGCTCAACCGACTGAGCCACCCAGGTGCCCCTTGAATGGTTATTCTTAAAGGCATTGTACTCGGTGCTATACAAAATGCAAAATTCGTGTCCTGAACATGTTTACCATCGTGAAAGATAGACTGATAAAATAAGGGTTAAAATCTGGGGAGAGGATTGAGGCGGGATTCTAATTCTGCTGTGAGGAGAATGGAGTTGAGGAGGATAGGCAAAGCCTTTTTTTTTTTTTTTTTTTTTAAAAACCATATGGTGCACTCATTAGATTTTTTTTGCTTCACAAGATCTGGTATAGAGTCTAGGATTCTCTATTTTTTAAAACTGTCTCAGGCAAGCTTGATAAATAGGCTGGTTAGTGGGAGAGAGTACTTTAGGGCAAATAAATGGTTTTTCTTTTCAGAAACAAGAAGAAAGTTCCCCATTATTCATCCATATCATTACCTGTAGTTTCTATAGGACAAAAAAATTGAGTCATCAAGTATATTCCTTTGCCAATTTTATTTTTTTTATTTTTTAAAGATTTATTTTTATTTATTTATTTGACCAAGAGATAGAGCCAGAGAGCACAAGTGGGGGGAGATGGGATGGCAGAGGAAGAAGGAGAAGCAGGCTCCCTGCAGGGAGCCTGATGCGGGGCTCTATCCCAGGACTCTGGGATCATGACCCAAGTCGAAGGCAGACGCTTAACCAACTGAGCCACCCAGGCGCCCCTCCTTTGCTATTTTTAAAACAAATTGTTGAATTAATGGTTTAATGAACAAGTTGAGGAAATCTTAAGACATTCCTTGTTCTTAGACAAGAAGACGTAACAGCTTAAAGATGTCAGTTCATAACATAGATTATATATTTAACATAATCCCAATAAAAATCTCTACAGTTTTTCTTGAGGGAAGGGTGGAATAGACATGATGATTCTAAAATCCATTTGGTAAAAGTAAATGTCATAAAAGTTTGGAGAAGAGCAATGCGAAAATACTATTCTAGAGTTCAGAACTTATTATAAAGCCCTAGTAATTTAAAAAATGTGAATAAACTGATAGAACAATTTTTTATCTGTTAAATGTTAAATTATGTGAATTTGACACAACTAAAAAGATAGGTCAAATCAGTGGGGGAAAGATAGGATTATTCAAGTAATAGGTTGGTAAAAATTAAAAAGTTCTATATTATTAAAAAAAAAACCTGACAAGTTGGGAAAAAATACTTCAACTCATCACAGTGAAAGGACCAGTCTTACTGATAATATGAAGTGGTCCTAGAAATACATGCATAAAAGACCAACAACCCAATAGATTATAGTCATAAAATTCAAAGAAAAGGTGATGAGATCGTATGAAAAATGTTTATTTCACTCATAATTATAAATCGAAACTATATAGAGATAGCATTTTTTTTTTTACTTCATTGATAAAAATTTATCAGTTTAATAATACACTTTTGAGTCTCTGAGGAAACCGATACCCTAATATATTTTTAGTTGTAGTGTCAATTGATACAACTCCCACTGAAGACATTTGGCAGTATCTATTATTACAAAATCAACCCAGAAATCCTACATCTGGGACTTTATCCTAGGGGTATATTTGAAAATGAATGAACAATGTGTCATTGTTTGTAGTGGCAAAAACCTGTCAGAGTTGAACTGCCCATGGATAGATAGGGAACTAGTTAAATAAATTATAATTACCCCATACATTAAATACTATGTAGATTTAAAAAGAAAGTTAAAGAATGCTCCACATACTGATATGTTAGAGCTCTATTGTTAGGTCAAAAAAGAAAGGTTCAGGACAGTGTGTATAGTATGCTACATTTTTTGTTAAAAAAAGGGAAAAATAAAAGCATAACTTTGTATTTCTTGTAACTACAGAAAGAAACTAGAAAGATACATGAGACTGTCAAATAGTTATGTAGGGTGGTGAGAACTAGGTGGATGGGGACTGGTACATCCTTTTGTTAGTTTCATTATTTTGAACCATTCAAAAATTAAATGATTTAATTTAAAAAATATTTTTTACCAATTGTGAATAACTAAAAATTGCATTTTTTAAGGTGAATGCTAACTTAAAAAAAGCTTTTTCCTTTATACATATATGTTTATGTATTTATGTTTAGGTACATTTTATGTTCATGTGTGGTAATTAACATCAGAATATATGTTCTTTGAAGTGACCAGTTGATTCCAGATTCTCACAATAATTTGTAAGCTAAATTATTAAAAAATTTGTCCTTTTACAGCCTTTTAAATACAGATTAATCTTTTATAATGTTTTTATAAAACGGCTTTAAAACTTTTTTTCCTGGGGAAATCACTGTATATAAAGTAAGAAATAACAAATATTGAGCATTTCACTTGTAATAATGTCAAGTGTATGTGTTCAAATATTGGTCTTCTCACATAAATCTTTTTAAATCTTCAGCAACATCAGCAAGCATAGACAGAAGTGCCCCTCTAGAAATAGGTCTTCAGCGATCTACCCAAGGTACATTTTGTCACATATTTATATTGAACATTCAAAAACTTACTCCAGAACGATGTACTTACTTACTTTTCTTTTCTTAAAAGTGAAACGAGCTGCAGATGAAGTTTTAGCAGAAGCAAAGAAACCACGCATTGAGGTAATGGGACTTTATTTTAAATGTGAATTGTAGTATTACAAAATTGGGTTTGTATATGAATAAGAATTCTTTCTCATAGTAGTCCTAGGAGCTTTTTTTCTGGAAAAATTGTTGTAGTATAATGAATGTTTGATTAATAGTAGCTTGAGCTATAGTTTGAGATCTCTTACATAAGCTGTGTGTTGGACAAATCACTTTTCTTTTATATACTTATTGACGAAAGTGTTGGGCTAGGTCAGGAGTTGGAAAACTTCTTCTGTAAGGGATCATACAGTAAATATTTTAGGCTTTTTGGGCTGTTTAGTGTCTGTCCAATTATTCCACCCTGCTATTATAGTGTGGAAGCAGGAAGAGGCAATACATAAATGAACTGGCAAGGCTGTATTCTAGTAAAATTTTATTTTTTATTTTTTATTATTTTTAAAGATTTTATTTATTTATTTGACAGAGAGAGAGACAGCAAGAACAGGAACACAAGCAGGGGGAGTGGGAGAGGGAGAAGCAGGCTTCCCGCAGAGCAGGGAGCCCGATGTGGGACTCGATCCTCGGACCCTGGGATCATGACCTGAGCTGAAGGCAGACGCTGAACGACTGAGCCACCCAGGTGCCCACTAATTTTCCAATATTTTTCTGGTTAGTTTTCTACATTTTTAGTACTAATCTTGCCTTTTATTGTATTTTGCAATGAACATCACTGAACGAATACTAGTAGTATTTGCATGGGATTTAAACAAAAAAAAAAATGATCTACACATTTCTTTAACTGTTATAAGCAACAAATTACTAATGTCATATCTCATTACATTGAGTTTACAAATCACTACCTTCAAACTCACAATTTATCCTAAAAGAGACTGTCTGGTCATTGCTATAGACTGAATTTGTGGTCACTCCCTTTTTCCTTCTACCACATGAGTATGCAATGTGAAGACTGAGGTCTATGAACCAGAAAGCAGTCTCTCACCAGACAACGACTCTGCTGGCAACTTGACCTTGGATTTCCTAGCCTCTAGAACTATGAGAAAGAAATTTCTGTTATTTATAAGCCCCTCCAGTCTATGGCATTCTCTCATAGCAGCATGAATGGACTAAGTCATTGTTTGTGTATGAAATAAAATTAAGTATCATTTGAGGGAACTATTGTTGATTCTCCTAATTTACCCATCAAATCTTGAGTTTGTTGAACTCATCTATCCATTTATTAATTTAACATTTTCTAGGAGGCAATAATGTGCCAAATAATGTGCTAGACACTAGGATATGATGACACAGGTCTATTGCCCTTCAGTTTTGCAGGAAGAGGCAGGCAAGTAAATAATGGCGGTCAAGTAATACTGGGTGCTCTGATACAAGTATGATTAGAGAGTGTGGGAGATTAGAGAGTAGTAAGTTCTTTGTAGTAACTGTTTTTGCAGTGAGATCCAGGAAAATACCACAGGGATGGGTGCATTTGCACAACAGACAAAATTTCTCAAATTCATTTGCAAAATGGCTATAGATAGTATAGGAAGCGAATCACACACTTTCATATCCCTCTGTATTGCACATAATAAAAATGGATCCCTTTCAAAGCAGGTCAAGGTATTTGGTTATATCAATAAAGAAGTTGCCTTCCCACCCCCTCCTTTCTGCTACGGTACAAGGAATAAAAAAATTATGGGCCCCACAAGATGATTGTTTTAAGGTATGCAGGCCACAGTATATTGAATTTATATCATTGTTTCCAGCATGGCAAGGACACCCTTCAGCCTTCTGAGTGCCAATAAAGAATCAAGTAATCCGAAAGTATTCTAATTCTGACAGTTTGGAGTTTGTGTTTTCTAACTTTTTCATTAGCATCTTTGAACAGAACCATTTAAACGTACCTCTTTGGGGCTGGCAGGGAGAAGGGGCCAGGATGGAAAAAGTCATCATCTAAGGAATTGAAGTGGAAGATCCAACATTTACGATATTTTGATGATTTGCTAGATGCTTTCTTTCATCTTATTCTCATACTAACTCCTTTTCTCCAGTAACCAAATTAATGCTATGAGAAGGTATGTATCGTAGCCAATGTCAAACAACAGCTAACAAATACAGGTATCCGGGATTGATCTCCTCCGGACTAGGTCATTACCACTATGTGAAAACACTAAAAACAAAACAAAACACCCCAAACTAAGCCCCCCAAAACCTCACCCTTCTAAAGGGTTTTAATAAGATCACTAAGACTTAGAGGCCACTTAATGGGTCCCATTTAGTTGGTAAGGTAGTCCTAGTGTTTCACAAATCTTCTGCCAAGCTCAATTCCTTCCAAAGGAACGAGCCGAAAGCCTTTGACCGCAAAGCGGGTCCGCGATCACTCAGTGCGTGCTCAAGGGACGCAAGCATGCCGCTTCCTTGCAGGTGCGCGCGCACCTGTCGCTAGCCGCGTGAGCGCCGCGAGGGAGGGAGGTACGTGTCCGTGCGCGTGCGCCAGGCAACATTCCCCGTACGTGCGCCGTACGTGGGCGCGGTGTCCCTGCGCTCGGAGTTTCGGGCCGGCATTCGGCCCCGTGCCGAGTGGGAGTCTGGGAGGGGCGTGTTCCTGGGCGGTCGCAGCTCCCCCTGGTGGCGGCCCTGCAGCGCTGGAGGCGCGCAGTCAGGCGTTCTCCGCGGGCAGCCGGCGGCGGGGCCTTGCCTTATAGCGCGGGGTCCTCGGCGGCCTGGGTGTCTACTGCCCCAGCTGCTGTCGTAGGCGAGGACGGCTGCTAGTGCGGCTGCTGTTGGTTCGCGGCGGCGGCGGCGGCGG